AAGGATTTATTTCCACCAAACGAGAGTTGGTGATTGTTGTAAAGACTAACAGAGACGGTTTTAGTGAGTTTCATTTTGTTTCTGTCCACTTTGAATGAAGTTACGATGATCTGAGAGTCAAAATTGCCAATTTTTTCTATGGAGTCTGGTGGAGAGTGATGTTTTATTCTTCAGTGGTGATTGGGAATGTCTAAAAAATGATCTAAATTTTAACAGATTTTAATTAGCCAGATGCAGCAACGGCCCTTTATGTCGTAAATAAGAAGTAAAACAACAAAATAAAGTCATTTTCCATCAATCAAAACATCCAAATCCCAACGTGAACACTTTTAATGGTTCAGATTGTAAGAAAATAATCCAGAAATTCATTCACATCCATGTCACAACTTTGGTTTCTTACAGGTTGAAAGGATCCGGATGAGACCTACAGGTAGCGTTAATCCACCAACGTAAAGACACAAAACCCCAACAGAACAACGGTGACGGCGGGGGGGCTCTTATCGAGGCAACAGTGAAAAAACCCGAAAAACAGACAAAAACCCGAAAATCACATTTCCGCATGTAAACGGTGAAAAGACAAAAAAACAAGCCGCTTCGTTAACATCAAATCTGTCAAAATATACTGTATATATATAGAAATATAAATACAAACAGGCAATAAAAATAAAAAATAAAAAATAAAAAGGATCTGTGTGCCGCTGTGATCGATATTACTCCCAGTGTATGTACAATCAAAGGCTTACAAAGCTCATAAATTCAGGGATTGAATCACATACCGACACTCGTTCCCCTCTTCCCTTCATCCATCCATCAGTTCGTCTCCCCCCCTTCCTCTCATCAGCCATCCTTTCTCTCTCACAGCCACCTTTCACGCCATTATTAAATCTGTATTATTTATCAATCACGCTCCTCCGGCTCCACGTTCTTCCTTCTGCTTCACTCCATCTTGGACATCTCGAACTTGGTCGTCAAGGTTTCCTGCAACAGAAAACGCATCATAAGCTTTTTTAAATTTGTTTCTGTCCACTTTGAATGAAGTCACGTTTTTAAATTAGTGTTTTTTTCGGGAGCCGTTTGTCCCACAACGATTAGCTAACGTTAAATGGCAGCCATAGCGACCCGTTTTTATCCAACTCTGTGAATTAAAGAGTTATTTTGACCAAACCAGAGTTGGTGAGTGTTGAAACAGTAGGAAGACGTTTTTATGTAAAATGTGTGTTTTCTGTATCTCTTCTGGCTGTAAACTCAAACTGGAGCGTGGATGCTCTTCTCGTGATTGCCGTCCTCTCCCTCCATCTTTAATCACAGTCCTCCCCTCCTCCCCCATCCCCTCCGTCGTCTCGGCGAGGAGGTCGACGTTGTTAAGACGATTCCTTTTGTTGCAGACGTGACGGACGGAAAACCTCAAACGGAGGACGAGATCGCGGTCGACATGAAGAAGCCAATTTGTCTAACAAGTTGCCGGTCTGCAGGAAACAAAGCCGAGCCTCGTGGTTTCAGAAAGGATTCACCGTTTCAGGCAGATTGATGGAGAGATGTACAACGTGACAGAACTAAAAGACTGATAACCCCTTAAAGAAAGAGTAAATTCTAAGTACAGTCCTTTATTATAACAGATCCTGGTTCCACTCCACAGTATTTATTTATTGCAACCACAGGCGCTTCTTCCAGAGAATATTAACTTCATTTTATCCTCTCGCCCAAAAAAATATCAGTGATAAATCGGTGGCGTTGCCTCGTACTCTGAGTTCTAATTAAAGCCTCATATGCATGTTTTAAACCTAACATTTCAGAAAACTACTTGTCTTAATGTGAGTAATCAGCTGGGGAAGTTTCATGCTGATATATAATAGTTAAAATTTTTACCCTATTCACCTGTAGTGTTTACAATACGTGTCTTTAAAGGTGCAAAATGAGGCTTTTCTGGCACTCTGAAGCAGAAATCTCCACTTCAGCGGATCTTAAATACATCAAACCTTCCAGTTTTATTCCTCTCTGTAGTCTGAAGGTTTGTGCAGAGCGGGTTGCTCATGCTTCATTCACAGCCTGATTTATATCACGTTACTCCTAAAAACATGGCGAAAATTCATCTTTTCTGTTGTGAAAATGTATGGAAACATCATTTTTTCCATTAAATTAAGCCTCATTTACATATTTAAACATATTAGAAAACTTGATGAACACAAATAATAATTCTCTTTCTGTTAGTTATATTTTTTAGCCTCTTTACCTGCTAATGAGATTTATGGCGACAGCAGAGAGACACACCGAGCGCAGCGAGCGGGACGTGATGCATCCCTTTAATTCCCTCCTTTAATCGTGATGAATTACATAATTCATCATTACGGGGGGATAATGTGCAGGTTAGGGGCAGATTTCTTCCTAATTTACCTCCCGAATAACAAGAGGGCATTACATAATCTGCCAGTAGGAGCGAGGAGGAGGCAGTCGAGGCAATTATTTCCCCTTAATTTGCTCGTCTAATAAGGCGGATTCATTACAGCGTCGGTGTGACAACCTTCAGTTACGACCAGTTCACCTCCTTCCTCCCTTTCTCCCTCCCTCCCTCCTTTACTCCCCACAGAGAGACTATAAGAGGACGTTCCAGTGTGCTTAATATTTTCTATGGATTTTAATACATCAGAGTTTATACTGAAGCTTACGTAAGAAATTGATTTTACATAAGAGGCACTTTGTTGATTGCCGGGTCCCTTAAAGAGCTTCGGCCCCTCGGAGATCAAAGAGTAAATAATCTGGAAAATGGTTCGAAAAAAGGCTCCAAATAAACATCCGACGGGAGATAAACGAAAGAACAAACACAGAGTGAACATAAAACAGATCCTGACCCACTTTTAGGGTTCAAATCTGATCAATAATCAATATTTGTCTTTAGATTTTTGTGTATTTTTGGGCTGAAGATGATCAATAATGGCGGCTGTGTCACTAACACACACACACACACACACACACACACATCACTGTCACATTGTTCCGCTCGCCATGACAACGGAGAAGAGGATAAACAACAGGGTGATGTAACCGTGGCAACAGCTGCTCTTGGCAGATTGTCTGCCGCCCTCTGCAGGCCACAGCCGGAACTACAGGTGTGAGTGTTTTATTATATTATATTAAATTAATATTAATAACCTCATATATAATTTATAGAAATAATAATGAGATAATATTATCTAAAAAATATAAAGAAATATAAATCTGATAATATATACAAATATTTAGAAATAATAATAATCTAATAATATATAATAATATATAGAAACAATACAAATCTAATAATATATAATAATATACATACTGAATATAAATCATAATACTTTGTGAGATTTTTTAATAGTAAAATGTGTTTTTATGTTTATTAAATACTAAATATTTGACCATTTTCTTTTCCTCTACATTGAAATGTTTTATTCTGGTTTGTATTTTTGCAGATGTTTTTCCTTTAGATTAAAGAAGATTAATATCTCTTATATTTATCCATTCTGATTTATTGCTCAGATCTTTCTGATGTTTTAACGTTCACATAAAGAATTCATGTGATTTGTTTAGTGATGAAGTGAGAAAAGCAGATAACTGACCTCATCAGAGTCCAGCAGGGGCGGCAGGGCGCTGTGTGTGAGAAAAGAAGACTTTCAGCATCAAACCTGAATAATATTCATTATTTATCATTTCTGATACGTATCAAACTCTTTGATGATGACTTACACGTCTGCCATCGATGAAGGGATGTTCTCTTCTACCCATTTCAGATCTTCATCCTGGAAAACAACAAAGTGATGTTCATTGACATTAAATCACAGAAATATCTGTTTATTTTAGGCTCAATCTGCTGATGTAAGCAGGATTAAAGGGTGAATAATTGACTTCTCAGTTGATTTCTGAGTTCAGTAAACAGTTTCCTGATGAGTTTCTGGTCTCAGTCT